AAGAAGTACTTCTGGGTACTTATTCAAATTTCTAGGAGGTCTTATTTCTTGGTGTTCCAAGAAGCAAGTTGTTGTTGTGCTGTCAACCTGTGAATCTGAATATATTGCAGGAGCTCTGACTGCATGCCAAGCTGTGTAGATTATGAACTTGCTGCAAGATCAAAAGATTGAGATAGACAAACCTCTGAAGCTGATGATTGATAACAAGTATGCAATCAATCTTTCCAAGAAGCTAGTGATGCATTGGAGAAGCAAGCATATTGAGACCAAGTATCACTTTCTGAGGATTCAGGTTCATAATGGAATATTAGAAGTTATGCACTATAGCAACCAGAAGCAGCTGGCAGACGTTCTGACAAAGGTTATCAAGACTGATCAATTTCTTCATTTGAGGGATTGAATTGGTGTTGTCATTTTTGTGTAAAGATAAATTAAGGGATGTTGTTGGAATTAATTTATATTTTAGGAATATCTTGTTAATTAAGTATGTTAGAGGGTATTTTAGTATTTTATTATACCCTAATTTTGTGTATCAATAGCCTAGTAGTAGGTAGGTCAATGTAATTCATTATTTCTTATTTTGTAGTCGTCATTCAATATATTCATTTTTTCTTTCATCTCTCCATTGTGCACCAACACAATGTACTCCCGGAAAATGGAAGGCCTTATAGCAGCTTCTATACCAGATTTAGACATTGTAACTTAATTGTTATTTTATTTGGTGGTGGTTGTGGTTGGAATGACCAACTTATGATAACCTTTTATAATCTTGCGATGATTTTTTTTAATGAAGGTATTTTTTTGTGGGGTTTGAATTCCCTTCCTATGTGGAGAAATACCCAAATATTAATAGCCTATTTGTCTCACATATATAAGTGGATATTGTCAATTTAGGGTTAAGAGAGGTCGAGAAAAATAAGGATTCAAAAAGAGATAAAAGTGGAGAGAAACTCATTCCCATTTTTTCTGCAGTAGTCTCATAAAAATGATGATTCCCGATTAATTCAACATCAGATCGACCCTAGGGATCTTCAAAACAAGATATGAGTTTAGAAATATTGGGTTCGCACTAAAGCTGCAGATTTGAGAAAATTTTAAGCTTATTGATTCTTATTTGTAAGTTAGTTTTCTTTGTAATTTGTGATTGTCATCACTATTTTGTGAATCACTTTAAGACTCTCTTGTAACCTATTTTGATTATAATGTAGCTATTTTCTTTGGTATGGACAACTCGTGGTTTTTACTTTCAAATTGAGGGGTTTTCCACGTTAAAAATATTTATGTTCTTTTGTGCCTTTATTGTTTGGTTGTCGTCTTATTTTTGTTGTTGATCCTCAAGGTTCCTACAAGTTTAGGAAATATTATATTTGATGTGTATTATTCTGTTATTTTGTCTTAATTTTCCATCAGAGTGGCATCAGAGTTCTTGGTTAAGGGATATTTTACTTGTTTGAATGATGGAGTCAAATACAAAGATGAATATGGTATTATTGAATGGTTCTAATTACCTTTTATGGAAGGGCAATATGAAAAACTTGCTATTTGTGAAGAAATTACATTTATCGATTTTTAGCTGTGTAAAGCCAGATATTGTGTCTGATGAAGAATGGGGGTTTGAACATTAACAAGTATTTGGTTTTATTCGAAAATATGTAGAAGATAATTTTTATAATCATATTGCAAATGAGACACGTTCAAAAACTTGGTGGGAGAATATAAAGTCCTTGTATGCGTCTAAATCAGGGAATAATAAATTGTTCTTGTTGAATAGTTCCATAAGTTTGAAGTATAAGTAAGGGACATTAATTTCTGATCACATGAGTAAATTTCAAGGGCTCCTTGATCAGATGTCAGGAATGAGTATCAGATTTGATGATGAACTTTTGGGTCTATTTCTATTGCTGTGTTTTTCTAGATCATTGAGAGACATTTCAGGTTTCTATTACAAGTCTTGCTGCTAAAGGTGTTGTTTCTTTATAAATGGCTAAGGGTGATATTCTTAAT